GGGAGAGGGGGGGCCAGAGAGGGGAGGTGCAGGCCGAGGAGGGGGAAGGAGATTGAAATGGGGGGGGGGGGAGAGGGAGAGAGAGAGAGGCAGGTGAGTCACAGGGTGCCTCGGAGGAGCGAGGGGCTGAGGCCCAGAGGAGGAGGATTCAGAGCCTAGGAGAGGGGAGCAGGAAGGAGCCCCAGCTCGCCCATCGGCCTGGGAGCCCCACGCCCATCCCAGCTGGGTGGTGGCTGCCCAAGAGGCCGGGTCTGCCCAGACCCTGGCCACGGAGGTCAAGGCCAAGAGAGGCAGGTCGCCACCGGCTCAGACAAAAAGGGCCACGAGGAGCCGTGGTCTGAGCCCATTTTAGCGGAATCTGTGGTCGGGGGGGGGGGCAGCGGCCTGCCCCCAGTCACAGCAGCAGGCAGGACTGAGGGGCGCTGTGGGCGCCTGGCCTGGCCTTTTCCGCCCTGCCCCAGTCCTGGACCGGCTCTGCGGACTCTTCCCCAGGTCAGCTGCAGCGTGGCCAGGCCTTCCCACCCGCAGAGACAGGGCGCCCGGCACCGGGAGGCTGCGATGCAGGGCCACCGGGATGAGGCCCGGGCGGCTGGCTTCGGTCCCCCTGCCCTCCTCCCAGCCTGGCTCTGGCCATGACGTGGACCAGCACGTGGGGAAGAGTCTCCACCCCTTAAACTTCTTCTTCTCAAAGAGCCTCACACCCAAGGCCAAGACAGGCTGAGAAACTGGCGAAGGGAGAAAGACCAGCCACGCGCTGGGCTCAGGGGTCAGGAAGAGACACGAGCACCCTCCTGGCTTCCGCCCCTCCCTCCGGCTCCGCCAGGCTACAAACCAAGGACGGCAGCTCTGGGGGCGGGCGAGGGGCCAAGGAGAAGCCCTCACTGCGGGCGCAGCCTCAGGTCTGAGAGGGCGCAGACGGGGACCTGCAAGGAGGAAACGTGAGGAGGGGGCGAGGCGGCTCCGGGCAGGCTGGCCTGGCCTCAGGGGTGCCCGGCGGGGTGGACGGGCCCCTCCTCCCCCGGCCGCGAGGCAGGAGGCGCCAGAAGGGGTGCAGGAGGCGGCAGCCAGGCTCTGGGATGCGGGGCCGGGGTGCCTGGGCGGAGGGCGTGGGAGGCTGGGGCCAGGGCAGCCCCGGGATGGAGGTGTGAGCAGGCGGAGAGAAAGCCCGGGCAGGGGCACAGAGGGAAGAGACAGGGTGCAGATGAGATCCAGGAGGAGGAAGAGGTGGATGAAGATGAGGCAGGACCTCCAGCGGGAAGCGGAGGAGGAGGAGGCGGTGGTGGGAGGGAGAAAAGGTTAGCGGGATCCTGAGATGACTGGGCTGCAAGAGAATGAGAGAGGGCGTTATGCGGGAGGCGCCAGGCGGCTGAGCTAACCCGGGGCCGCCCCCCACGGCAGGGCCCCGGCTGCAGCCGCTCTGCTGGGGAGTGGGCGAGGCTCCGCTTTATCAGCAGTCATGGTCCTGGGGGCCGGCTGCACCTTTCTCCGGGATATCTGCCTCCACCTGCACCTGCTCCACCTCCACCTCCACCTCCTCCTCCTGCTGCTGCTGCTCCTCCAGCTGCTCCTCCGCGCTCTGTGAACCAGCCGGCGGACCCAGGGAAGAAAGAGTGGAGAGCTAACCAGGGGACCCAGGCCTGCTGGCAGCGGCCCCCACGGTCCCCCTCTCGGGCAGGCAGGTGGCCCTGGGGATCTCCAGGCGGAGGCAGGGCGACAGCCAGACGCTGGGGCAGGGGCCGTGGCCCGCTGGGGGTGCTCATGGGTGCTCATGGCTAGTGGCGGAGCAGGGCTGGGGCGGGTGGAAGGGCAGGGCGGGGTGTGCTGGGGAGCCCTCGAGGGGCAGCTGCGAAGGCCTCTTTGAAGGACGGACCCCGAACAGACACAAGGCTGGCACCCCAGGGCCACCGAGGTCTGGGGTGCCGACAGCAAGCTCTCGGGCTTTGGCCCAACGAGGCGGAAACAGCGTGCTCTCTGCACTCTGGTGAGGCAGTGCCAGACGCTCGTGCCAACGGGGGTGGGGTGGGCAGGGAGCCACAGGACAGAGAGGCAGACAGACAGACAGGAAGCAGAACTCATGTCGCCGCCCACAGGGAAAGGCCCCAGGAAACGGTCTCCCCTCTCCCGACCTGGCTGGCTGCCTGCCCTGCTACTGCTGCAGGCCTTGAGGTGCCTGGGTCTGGGACCCCCTATGGCCTCCCCAGGGGGCTCCTGACCCCTCTCCTACAGAGCGCCCCAAGAAGGGCCTGGGACGGGGGCAGGGTTCCTGCCCCAGCCAGGTCCCTGGGAAATAAAGTGGGGATCTGGAGCCCAGAAGTTCCAAGCTTGACGCACCACAGAGAGGACAGGGCCACAGTGAAGACGGGGCGGGCCGGGGCAAGGCCAAGGTCACACAGAGCGGCACCCACACCTGCCAGACCCCTAGGTCAGGGCTGCCCCCGCCCCCGGCGCCACCATGTGGCCACCATGCAGGCAACACCCAGTGGGAGCTCTCAGCGCCCCTGCGGGCCCCCTCTCTGCCCCCCAGCCTGGGCCTGGGCCAGCGCATGAGCAGACAGGACAGCGGGGCATGGGATGGATGCATGGGCTGTGAGGACTGTGGCGGGCGGCAGGAGGGGGAGAGGAGGAGCAGAAGGCCACGGCAGCGGGGAGGGAGCGGGGAGGGCTGAGGCGGGGCCCTCACCTTGGCTTTGCGGCCGGACTCCGAGCTCAGCCCGTGCGGGCAGCCGTGCAGTTCCTTGGACACCACGCACAGGAACTCGGCCTGGTCCTCGCTGCCGTAGTTGTAGGAGGAGCTGATGTTCACCAGCTGGGGGGAGCGGGGGGAGACAGACAATGGGGGTGTCTCAACCGCACAGCACTGGTGTCCCGGCTTGCTGCAGCTCGGGCCGGTCCCTAAGGACCCGCTAGGTGTCGGGGTCCCCTCGCCTGTCCCCACCCACATGCCGGTCTGTCCCTGGACCGGCCGCCCCTGGCTGGGCTGGGCTGGATCCCTAGGGAAGGTGTGCGGGCTCAGCAGGCCACTTTGCAAAAGCAGGCGGGCACCTGGAAGCAGCCCCAGACCCAGGCTGCAGGGTGTGGCTGGCCGCGGGTGCCTGGGGAACGTCCTGGTCACACCTGGAGTGGCGGTTGCGCCGGCTGCTATTCTCGACCGGGGCCAGTCCGAGCCTGACAGCCTGCCCCACTGCCCAGCCATGGGCTCCCGAACCAGTCGCAGCATCCCTCGGCCCCGAGGGCCCCTCAGAGCACGGTCTCACTCAGCCCTGGCGCCCTCGTCCGGCACACAGGAAGGCACAGGGCTTGGTGACGTGGCAGCCAGCCGAGGTCCCAGGCCAGGAAGAGCGCAACAGGGACTCGCATCCCGACCCCGTCCCCTGGGCTCCGCTGGCCTTAAAAGCCCACCATTTGCATGCCACTCGCTCCGGCCGGACAAGGGCTGTCGCGGTCCTTCTCGTCCTCACGACAGGCCTCAGAGGGCTACCGCGGTTCCACAGCACAGATTAGGAAACTGAGGCCCGGAGAGACGTGACTGGCTCAAGGTCACGTGGCCCGTCAGGGGCGAGGTTAAACGCGAATCCCGCCCTGGCTCCGGCCCTGGCTCTTCCCGCACGCCCGCCGCCTCCGCTGTCTCCGCAGGCACATCTGAACTTGGCTCAACTCCCTGGCTCGGCTCCTCGGGAAACCAGAGAGCTGGGGCACCCATCCGCGTGGTGCTACGGCTTCTGATAGCGGGGTTTCCGCCGGGTGAACGGCTGGCATAATGGGGGCAAGCACCACCAGAAACACCTCCGGGAAGCCGCTGCGCTGGTCGTCACGGCGGGCCCCGCGCGCTGGGCCCCTGGCTGGTGACGAGAGGTGCGGACGCCTCGCCTCACACCTGAGCGTCCAGGGGGGCCAGAGACACACTCATTCTTCCGGGCGGCCGTTCCCGGCAGCTGTGAGGCGGCCCGATGTCCTTCAGAGCGTGGGGCTGCGGCCTCCCCGCCTTCTGGCCGCCTGGAGCCAAGCGCGGCCTTCCCCATCGCGTTTAGCCTGGCTGGGGCTGCTGTGTCCAGAGCCCGGGGGGGGTGTGGCGCGCCCGCCCCGCTCACCTGCTCGAAGCGCCAGCCGTCGGACATGGTGGACACCATCTGCGTGAGCTCCTCCTCCTGGCACTGCAGCACGCGGTACACGTGCTTGGGCGGGACCTGCGGGCAGAGCGCGTGGGGTCGCCGTGGGGGTGCCGGGACCCCGTGCTGCACCGCTCCGCCCCGGCCTCCCTCAGCCCTCCCCAGCCCCTAGGAGTCACGGGATTTTCACTCAGGCTCGGAGGGCCAGCCACTTGCTCAAGGTCGCCCAGCCGGAGGGCGACAGCACAGAGTGGAGCAGGCGATCCAGAGGTGAGGGGGGGCATCGGGGTCACGCGTGCAGGCAGGTTCTTGAGGATACTGTCCCCGACCGCCACATCCCCCGCGGGGTGGGCATGGACGCGCCGCTCTCCCTAGCGCTGAGGCCGAGGCTGCGGGCCCAGCAGCCACAACCAGCGCGGTGCTCACCCGACGGCCCCCACGGGAGGGCCGGTTCATTTTCCTGTTCCATCCCCCACCCTCAGGGACCCTGCACCTCAACAGTGACCCCGCCTTGCCTTGGGGCAGGGGGGCTGGTGGCAGCTCTCAGCACCTCTATTCCCAGAGGGGTGACTACACCAAGGTGACGCAGGTGACGTCGCACAGCAAGTCTGGCCAAGGCAGGGACAGGCTAACCTGGCCACCCCAAAGAATCCACTAATTCCACCTCTCCTCGCCTTTCTCCTGCCTCCCCAGCACCCCAGCTCTGGCCTGGGAGGCCCCCAGGGCTCCCCTACCTGGGTGACAGTGTAGTCCTTCTCCTCCATCCGGTCTTTGATGATGCGGATCAGCGGGCCGATGTTGTAGAACTCTGCCTCCTCCAGGACCCCTGGCGCAGGGACAGCCGTCACTCCTGTCACCGCGGCCCCGTCGCCCCTGTACCCCCATGTCAAGCCCGCCTCCTCATCCAGTCACATGAAGGTAAGCGGATGAGCCCAGCGCCTCTGAGTTTGGGGATCAAGCAAGAGGACAACCCTTGGGCCCCACATCCCCCTGGAAGGGCCGGAGGCTGCCACTCTGTGGCACAGCATCTCTGCTGTGCCGTGTGGGGGCTGCCCCGGGGCGATCCAGAGGGTAGGATGGCGGGGACTGGACTCTACAAGGCCACGGTGGGAGAGGCCACGACCTCGCTGCAGGCTCCGGGTCATGAAGCACACCTCAGTGCCAGGTGTGACACGGGTGCAGCTCGCCTCTGACCACGTCCACGCTCAAGAGTCCAGAGCCGGTACTTGCATCCCCCACTGAGAAAGGCGGGGAAACTGAGGCTCGCAAAGAGCAGCAGCTGGCCCCAGGTCACACGGCCTGTCAGCGGCAGCGCCGGGCTCCGGGCCTCCCGCAGGGACGATCTCTGGCAGCTGCGGGTCCCAGCCATCAGGCTTCCCGGTCTGCCAGCCCCCCACCCCGTGCTCATCGTGAGCCCTGGGGCAGTTCAGAGGCGAGAGCCTGAGAGTCCCAGCAAGCCGCCTCTCTCGGTGAAGTGCAGGGGCCCGGGGTCCACGTTCTACAGGGCGGGAACCCTTCGGGTCTCTCATGACTGTCCCGGAGATGAGACCAGCGTGTGACCCCCCTTCACTGCTGATGCCCAGAGGCCCAAACACTGCAGGGGTGCTCAGTGAGAGTGACCCCCCTTCACTGCTGATGCCCAGAGGCCCGAACACTGCAGGGGTGCTCAGTGAGAGTGACCCCCCTTCACTGCTGATGCCCAGAGGCCCAAACACTGCAGGGGTGCTCAGTGAGAGTGACCCCCCTTCACTGCTGATGCCCAGAGGCCCGAACACTGCAGGGGTGCTCAGTGAGAGTCACGGCCTGAGAGCCCCGCAAGTCCTGTCAACGACAGACAGGTGACATGCGTGTGTCGCGGGCCTCCATGCCCGACTGTGCTGAGGGGCCACCCGTCGGGGTTCCCTCTATCCTCCCAGCAGCTTAGTGAGGTGGATGCTACTGTCCCCATTTCACAGAGGTGGGCTCAGAGGGGTAAAATGACCTTGCTAGTACCACACAGCCAGTAAGTCCCCTCCCTGGCCTGGCACCCCACAGTCCTGCCCGAGGCCTGGCTAGTAAACAGGCCTCGCTGTGACGCAGCGCGTGCTCACCTCCCTCCCTATGGGACAGGCTCCTGGGCCCCGGCCACGCCCTGGTATCTGAGCTCCCAGGGCTGCCAGGAAGCTGCGGGGCTCTGTCAAGCCGCTGTCTACAGTGGGCTGCCCTGGACCCTCTGATTTACTGGGAGCCACTGGTGCCCTGATCGCGTGCCCCCTTGGGGTCGGGGCAGGAGACCATGCTGGGCGTGAGGAGGGATGGGCAGTGCGAGATGGCCATAGGGACTCAGGACATCTGTTGTTCCCAAACACACTCTCCCCGCCTGGCTCACACGGGAGTGGAGACTTGGGGCAAAGTGTCAGGAGGCGGGCCTGGCCGGGTCAGCGGACCCAGAGCCACACCCTGCGCCCCAGGAAGGTGGACTGGCAGCCAGTGATGTCCTTGCCCCTGGCGGGGAATATGCCCAGAGGCCACCCCCCAGGCACAGCTACCCCTCCTGCTGGGTCACACCCAGACCTGGGCGGGCGGAACCAGCACTGAAGAACGGGCTTCCCAGGCTGATCTCCACCCACAACCAGCTCTGTGCCGCAGAGGTTGCCAGATCTGGGGAGCAGGCACCCGCACCACCCACCTGCTGAGTGCAGGCCTGCGCAGGGATTGCGAGGTACTGGGCCACCTAGTAACTTGCCCAGTATTTCACAAAGAGCAAGAGCTCTATCTCCGGCGTGCCCAGCTCTGCTCTGCATACCTGTTTGCCAGCAGGCCAGGAGAAAGGGCAGCCCTGTCCACACTGCAGCCCGCACTGGCTCCTTCATCCTCTGCCCGTGTGCTCTGTCACTGCCCCCACAGTGCCCAGGGAAAGCCCAGGCCTGTCCGCTTGCTAGAACCTAGGTTCAGCTCAGGCTGAGGCTATGGGACTAGCTCCTCAGGGATGCGAAGGGACAGGAAGCTCGGAAGCCTACAGGAGGGACGGAGCTCTATGGAAGGGCTGGCAGGCCGCAGAGGGCAGAGCCAGGACGTGGGCCAACTCACCCTCCTCGGCCATGTCCTTGTCCAGCACCAGCTTGCCATGCCGGAGGAAGTTCAGGATGGGCCCGAAGTAGGTGGGGTCACGGTCAATGAGGTAGGCCCCAGTCTCATCCTGTGGAGGTGAGAGAAGAGTGAGGCTTCCCATGCCGACCCTTCCTTTGCGTGCAAAGACTGGGGGGAGGGAGAACAGAGTGTAGGGATGGTTCCTCCCTGAAAAGAAGCGGCGTGACAGAGCGAAAGGCTTTGGGGTTAGATCCATCCCAGTTACCATCCTGCCTCCGCCTTTTTCCAGCCTGTGTGACCTTGAGCCAATGATTTGGCCTCTCTGGGCCTCAATTTTTTTCCCGCATAACGAGGGGTCTTTGTGAGCATGTAGTGAGAGGGGGTCTAGAGTAGGACTCAGGGAGCGTCCCCCCACTCCCAGGCTGTTCCCCTGAAACCAGCCAGCCCTACACTGTCTCCACCAGAGCCCCAGTCATTCTGGGGATGTTTACAAATTTCCAAAGGAGTCGCTATCTCATTGGACACCAGCAGCCTGCAGTGAGGCAGGGCAGGCATCTGTACAAAGCTACAGAGGGAAAACAGACATCAAGAGAAGGTCACAGCTCCAGAGGGTCACATGGGAAGGAAGAGTGGGAGTCCTCTGGGGTTACAGAGAGGAGGCTGAGCTGAACCTGGAAAGGGGGAACTCCCCACAGGAGGGGGGCCACCCAAGGTCACCCAGGTACTTCGCAGCAAAACCGGGTGGGGAACCTTGAAATATGCCCGCTGGGCCAGCAAAGGGGCCCTGATAAGCCCCTGGCAGAAGGCACCCAGGTCTGCCACCCACTCCCCAAAGGGCAGAGAGAGGCAGCTCTCGCCTCCTTCCCTCTGATCCGAAGCCCCTGTGGGAAGGACGAAGGCCGGACAGGTCTATCCACCCTCTCACCCTAACGGGATCCCGATCCACCAGCCCCCAGGACTGGGAGCCTTCAGGGCGGCGCTCAAAGCCCAAAGGCCCCGGCCTGGCGTTGTCCCGTTGCCACGGCAATGGGCACCTCCCGCACTCGGATCCACTTCCTCCTCCCTGCTCAGGCCCGTTCTTCCCGCCTCCCGCTCTTCGGAAATAAAAGCCGAGTCCCAGCCCGGCGGGGCGCGGCCCCACACCCCACCGGCCAGCCCCGACTCGGGCCGGCGGAGGCCCCGGGTCTCCGGCCGCCGCTCTCCCGGGGGCCTCACCCGGTCTGACTGCAGCTCTTCCCCCTGGCACAGGCGGCTGAGGAAGGACTTCTGCTCGCGGCACAGCGTCTGCCGGGTGGTGAGGAACACCGTGCCCCCCACGTTGAGCCG